ATTATTCGGACTATTGTCCTCATCTTTGTTGCCATATTTATTACAACGTTTCGGCCTTTCAGTATCTGTTTATATTTCTGAGATGAGGTATTATGTACACTATTTACATTATTCTGACTATTGTCCTCATCTTTGTTGCCATATTTATTACAACGTTTCGGCCCTTCAGTATCAGTCTATATTTCTGAGATGAGGTATTATGTACACTATTTACATTATTCGGACTATTGTCCTCATCTTTGTTGCCATATTTATTACAATGTTTCGGCCCTTCAGTATCTGTCTATATTTCTGAGATGAGGTATTATGTACACTATTTACATTATTCGGACTATTGTCCTCATCTTTGTTGCCATATTTATTACAACGTTTCGGCCTTTCAGTATCTGTTTATATTTCTGAGATGAGGTACTATGTACACTATTTACATTATTCGGACTATTGTCCTCATCTTTGTTGCCATATTTATTACAACGTTTCGGCCCTTCAGTATCAGTCTATATTTCTGAGATGAGGTATTATGTACACTATTTACATTATTCGGACTATTGTCCTCATCTTTGTCGCCATATTTATTACAACATTTCGGCCCTTCAGTATCTGTCTGTATTTCTGAGATGAAGTATTATGTACACTATTTACATTATTCGGACTATTGTCCTCATCTTTGTTGCCATATTTATTACAACGTTTCGGCCTTTCAGTATCTGTTTATATTTCTGAGATGAGGTACTATGTACACTATTTACATTATTCGGACTATTGTCCTCATCTTTGTTGCCATATTTATTACAACGTTTCGGCCCTTCAGTATCAGTCTATATTTCTGAGATGAGGTATTATGTACACTATTTACATTATTCGGACTATTGTCCCATATTTATTACAACATCTTTGTCGCCATATTTATTTACATTAACTATTTCGGCCCTTCAGTATCTGTCTGTATTTCTGAGATGAAGTATTATGTACACTATTTACATTATTCGGACTATTGTCCTCATCTTTGTTGCCATATTTATTACAACGTTTCGGCCCTTCAGTATCAGTCTATATTTCTGAGATGAGGTATTATGTACACTATTTACATTATTCGGACTATTGTCTTCATCTTTGTTGCCATATTTATTACAACGTTTCGGCCTTTCAGTATCTGTTTATATTTCTGAGATGAATTACTATGTACACTATTTACATTATTCCGACTATTGTCCTCATCTTTGTTGCCATATTTATTACAACATTTCGGCCTTTCAGTATCTGTCTATATTTCTGAGATGAAGTATTATGTACACTATTTACATTGCTCGGACTATCACCATCATCTTTGTTGCCATATTTATCAAAACGTTTCGGCCGTTGTACGCTTCGACCTTCTTCAGGTGGTTGGAATGTCCTCAAGGACACATGGCACAGTGAATAAAGGCGTTAGATCCAATGACAGGACCGAAAGAGTTTTAGTTCAATACCCGGTTAAAGCAGTGGAGAACTTTTGGAGGGAAATTAACAGGAGACAACTGATAACTGACATCGATCAAACATGGCACGTGGAACTAGAACAGTCTACCCCAGTGAGCGTAATAAAGGGTTCAGTTCGACATTCCAACGACCTGAAGAAGACCGGAGCGTACAACGGCCGAAACGTTGTGATAAATAAGGCCATAAAGAAGAGGATAACAGTCCAAGCAATGTAAATAGAGTGCTAGAAGATTTTTGTCAGCACTGAGTTTAAGAAATATCATTTGACGTCGCCATTCAATGGTATTATGTACAGTGTGCGATGGGTAAATTGTCGCCATTATATATTTTACATTTTTTGAGAAAGTTAATTTATCAGTTTCTTTTTATGAATACATCTCTTCTGTTTATCATATGTACGCCCTAGCTACGTGCAAATAGCATGGCGGATAGGGATCTATATCGTCTCCGTTGACAGCCATCCTAGTAGAAAGAAAATTCAAATCAGCCGGGATAGTTCTGGCAAATAGCCGATCATTCTTATAGCAGCCAACGTCCAGAATGCGGTTAGGACATGGTTAACTCCTAGGCACCAAAATCCTGTGGTTTTAACTTCATGTAACGTGATAGACAGTGTAACAGTACAAAATATGTTGCTATGATGGAAATTTAAAAAAAGCAAACTTACAGACAAACAGTTTCAGAAATCACAGACATTAAGGAAATATTTAATAGAAACACAATAAAAATTAGTTACAGCTAAATAGAAAACATTGAACAAATAATAACATAACACAAATTACTATTGTAATTGTAGAAATAAAATCATATGCCCACTACGGAGAAATTACGGAGAGAAAACATATTATATACGACGAAAGTGACAATAAAGGAATAGCCAGATGAGGAACAAATATATATTGAAGCAATTCAGAAGGAATGTAAAGAAAGTTAAGCAAATCATTTGCGATATTTGAATTAGGAAATACATAAAATTACACCGTGTTGATAAAAAATAAATAAGTAAAAATATAAATAAATAAAAAGAAAACATAAATAAGTAAATAAAAGCATAAATAAAAACAGATGCAGAATTTAAAATCCATGTATGAAGGAGAAAATTAGAATAGACCTTAAGAATTTAAATGGTTTAATAAGCAAAAGGAATGATATTATTTCGAAATGGGAGCACGCTCAAGAATACCTTAATAATAGAAATATAAAAAAAACAATATATTAAGTGCTCATTTCCATTTCTATGCATGAAACAGACAGTAAGCAGGTAAATAACAAATTATATATATATATATATATGCGTTTTTTTTTAATTTTAAATCTTTAGTCCCGACACACAATACAGTCCAATATTTGAGATGAATAAGGCTAATGCATTTAAAGTTAGCTGAAAGTTAGTCTATATTCATGAAGTAATTTTGAATTTCTCTGTTATGTAATATATATATATATATATATATATATATATATAAGGGAGAAGTTATAGTTGTTTCAACGAGAGAAAAGTGTATTATTTAAAGAGAGGAGAGAAGCCGCAAACACATCACAACACATCTACAAATGTGATCAAGGCAAATTTAAAACTTTGCCAATATATCAAACAGACAACCACTCTTACCCAAAAATACAAGTTTGAGAGAGTGAAATAGGAAGGAACAGAGAAAATAATACTCTTAAATAAGTACCTTTTATCAACACAGTGAAAAGTTGAATATGAATATTTTATTATTATAGAACATCAGCTTAATCGATCATTAATTTAAAAATGAAGATTCCAAATATTAAAATAGGAAAACTGTGACATTTTCCCGGATATTTCTAGTTATTATTATTATTATTATTATTATTATTATTATTATTTGTGTATGATTCCTTCTTTGTTTCCTGTAGAGCCGGGCCCAAACTAGAATCCTTAGGCCCTATAGAAGAATTGTCAAAAATTGATAGCACTTTTCTTAGTATATGGGATGTTCCTAGTAGGACGATCTTCTGGCTAACTTGTATGTTGATGTTACCTGGGACACATTCCTTTTCTCACGTGGTCCAGAGCTCGGAATACTATTGATACCGTCTTAGTCTTCATTCCCCACATCCTGTTAAAGTCGGTCTCCAGGTCGTTGTATTTTCAAAATTTCCCGATAATTTTCATGGAGGTGTTTCTCTCAGATGGTACTGCTATGTCAATAAGCATATAATTCCTGAATTTCTTGTCTTTTATGATAATATCAGGTCTGTTGGCTTTTATTTTCCTGCCAGTAGTTTCAATTGGTATGTCCTAGAGGATAGTTACATCGTTATTTTGGGTAACTGTGTCTAGTTGGTGGTCATAACATTTCCCAGTGGTTTCGATTTTGTGCTTCTTGCATATCTTCCAATGCACATATGTCGCAACCTTGTGATGTCTGTGAATCCGGCTTTTATTATTATTATTTTTTTTTCCAGTTCCGGACATCCTGAGATAATATGGTCAACAGTTTCATCATATTCGTCCGCAGATAGTTAGTTCCATCCTTGATTATGTGACAGTGATAGGATCTGGATGCGAGACTTTGGCCTTGAGCTGCAGTAATTAAGCCTTCTGTCTCAGTTTTCAGCCTGGTGGCCCTCAGTCACTGATGTGTTTTCTGTTGGTCCACATCAAATTATTTCATGCGTTGTTTTCTTCTTCTTCTTCTTCTTCTTCTTCTTCTTCTTCTTCTTCTTCTTCAGAAAGAAAGAAAGAAAGAAAACTGCAAGTAGTACTAAACAAATTAGTAAAGGATAACGTGAAGAAAGGCCTAATTATCAATTGTAAGAAGATAGAACTGTCATAAATGGAAAAACGTCCATCATTTGAGCAATTCAAATGACAGAATCAAACAAGTGCAGGTGTTTAAATATCTGAAAATTTTTATAACAGGTGAAGAAAAATGCCTTCCAGAAGGTAAGCAAAGTATTAAGAAACAAGAAAAGTTCATTAGAAAGAACGTGCAGCGAACTGAACTGCTGTATAATGTCAGTACTCCTCTATAGGAGTGAATGCTGAACTATTTCTACTCTAGGCAATAGAGATGTGGCTCTACAGACGGATGCTGAGAATACCATGGATTCAGAAAGCGGCAGATGAAATTTCTAGAAGGTACAAAGGTTTCAAGAATTTGATATTCACAGGACATAATGGAAGCAAGGGGAATATATACCTAATGACCGCGTATAAATGGATAACAGAACAGAGATTGATTGATTCGTTTTTTTACAGTTTATCAACCCGTTGCAGGTTATTTAAAGCCAAAAAATATTTTTAGATTGTAAAAATTTCTTTTCTTGGTGATAATAATGATTTAGTGACGCAAAAATTTGTTTTTTCAAGTTTATCATTTATAGCCATTTTTTCTTTTTAGGCACTAACTATTTTTTTTCATTTCACTCCATTTCCTTCTCGTTATTTCAGTGCCAAATAAACCTCATTCTCACTTCTGCCTGGAACTTGTCATTTTATTTTTTTTAAACGACCCTTGTAGCTTTGCAATTCTAAACTCCTTTCGGAAATGCAATCGCTTGCTTTCTTTCTTTCTTTCTTTATTTCTTTCTTTCTTTCTTTCTTTCTTTATTTCTTTCTTCCATTTCTTTCTTTCTTTCTTTCTTTCTTTCTTTATTTATTTATTTATTTATTTCTTACCCTTCGCCAAGATTTATCGCGCTGCTGGTCTTCGTTGTCTATGCATCTTTCGCTGAAATCTTACTTCAAATCAACTACCCATTATTCTTTCAAAATTTCCAACGCTTTTTTTTATCTTTTTGTCTCTACAGTCACAGATCGACCAATTCTATATTTCTCTCCATTTCCTTATATTCCATCAGTCTCAAATTGACCCCTTTTTTCACTTCTGACCGCTATTTTCCTTCTTTTCTTTTAAACAACCCTTGTATCTCTGCAATTTTTAAACTGTTTCCCGAAATCCAAATCGAACTCTTTCTTTCTTTCTTTCTTTCTTTCTTTCTTTCTTTCTTTCTTTCTTTCTTTCTTTCTTTCCCTTCGCCAAATTCCATCACCTTGTTCTCTTCAATTTCTACGCATTTTCTCTGGAGTTTCTTCTTAATCTTTCCAGAAATCTTAGCATATCTTCTTCACATCATATTTTTTTTTAGGCGAGGAACCAGTTTTGTGTTATTCATTCTACAAGTTGTTCTTTTTTATTTCTTTAATTTCCATCACGTTAAGCGAATGTCTCAACATTTTTCTCTTTGTTTTATTTCCCTTTTAATTCACCCCCCCCCTACCATTTGCCGTTCATTTGAATCGATTTGGTTATGTAATAAAGTGTTGGTCTTCATTGCCTGAAAGGATTCTAATTCTGGGTCAAGAAGAGGTTATTGCGTTTGATTCATGGTCCGGAATTTAATGGCAGAAAATAAAATAAAAAAAGTATGAAAGAAAGGAAATAATGGGAGAAGGAATTGTTAAAAGAAAAAAGCCAAAACCAAGGAAAGAAAAATTAACCGAAGGAAAGAATGAATGAAAAGAAAAGGGAGACTATGGGATGGCAAAAACATCAGGGAAAATGAAGGATGAATAAATGAAAAAAAAAAGATGCAAAATAATAACAAATATTGCAAGATTAAGAGAATGAAAGACAAAACGTAGGAAAGTAAAACACTAAACAAAGAAGGAAGGAAGAGAAAATGAATGAATAAACACTTGAAAGAAAAAAATTATTGTTGGAAATAAAGGAAGAATGGAAAAACAAAGAAAGAAAGAAAGAAAAAAAAGAAAGAAACCAAAGTATGAGAATATGAAAAGAAAAAAAGAAAGAAAGAAAGAAAAAAGAAAGAAAGAAAGAAAAAAAAGAAAGAGAAAAGAAAGGAAGGAAGAAAAAAAGAAAGAAATGGATTATGAGAATGAATGTGAAGAAAGGGAAGGAAGGAAGGAAGGAAGGAAGGAAAGAAAGAAAGAAAGAAAGAAAGAAAGAAAGAAAGAAAGAAAGAAAGAAAGAAAGTGAGTATGAGAATGTGAAAACAAGAAAGAAACAAACAAACAAAGAGAGAAAGAAGCACAGTATGAGAATATGTGAGAAAGAAAGAAAGAAAGAAAGAAAGAAAGAAAGATTCGGAGTATGAGAATGTGCGAACAGGACGGAAAGAAAGAAAGAAAGAAAGAAAGAAAGAAAGAAAGAAAGAAAGAAAGAAAGAAAAAGTTCGTAAAGAAAAAAAGGTAAAGCAGAGAAAGAAAGCCGAAAATATTGAAAAAGGTAATAAACAAATAAAATAAATATTAAATGTTGGAAAAAAGAACAAAATGGAAAAATTCGAAAGAAAGAAAAAAATATTGAATGAAATACTGAAACAAAAAAAGAATGAATAAATGAAAGACTATATATAGGTAAGTAACATACCGAATAAAAGAGAGAAAGAAAGAAAGTTATTAACAGAAAGGAAAATAGAAACTGAAAGAATGGTTAAAAAAAAAGAAGGTAAAAAAAAATGAGGAATGAAAAAAGCAATGAAAGAAAAATGATTGAAAAAAATTTTGAAATCCGAAAAAAAAAAAAAAAAAGAAAGAAAAATTTACGAAGGAAAGACATGAAAATTGATGTAAGAGCAATTGTTTAAAGAGATATATATTTAAAAGAAAGAAAAGCAAGACGGGAAAAAAAAAGATGATGATGAAAAATGCCAACGAACGAAAATCTGTTAAAGTGGGTAGGGAATAAAATTTGAAAGATTTGGAGAATTATCTTAAGGAAATTGCAGTAAAAGGGAATAGTTTTGGAAGAAGAAGATAAAAAGCAAAGGTGATAGCAAAAAAGGGGAAAAATCGGAGCCTGAACTATCAGCAATCATGATGACTGGATGGCCCCTCGGGGAGGCCTCGTGTCTTGAGAAACTAGTGGGCTTTAAACTCGACTCAGACTTCAACTGGAACAGCAGGGTTACGATCCATCTCTCAAGATGCTGGGAAAAAGGTCGGCTCCCTGTACTGCTCCAGCAAGTACCTGGCACATCCTACTATCGTCAGATCTGGCGGAAAATGGAGTACTGCTCTCATAATTAGGCAGGGGCTGTCCAGTCCTCTCTTTCAAGTCTTGACAGAGTGTAAAAGCGTGTCCGTTTCTTTGTGGCTGACCAATTATTTGTCATCCTGCAACCGATCTCTCAGAGACAAAGCATCGCAATCCTCTCAAAGATCTATCGCTATTTCCATGAAAAAAGATCAAACGATATATTCCTTAGCTGCGCCAGTTCTGGCCTACAGGGATAGGACCCGCCTTGATCCGCGCATTGTAGTGACAGCGTCATTCCTTTCGTTTTTCATTTGTGAATTTAACTTCAACTCGTGAAACTTCTTCCCACGAACCTGTTCTATTGAATCGACTCCCAAAAAGGCGTTTTCCAGATCACTACAATCTTCGCCTGTTTAAATCTATGGTTAACCGTTATCTTCCCCACATATGCGCATAAACTGTGCCTCTTACTCTATAACCCTCTACCTTGAGTGGCACCAGGGCCTTGTACAGGTTGCCTCTCACTGTACAAATGAAGAGAAAAAAAAAGAAGAAGGAATCAATTTGGAAAAGAAATGTAGAAAGTTAAATGAAACGGAATGGTGGGGCAGCCGAACAAAAAACGAAATTTTACTCCGTTGATTTAATAATGGCTTCCGTTCTGAAATGCCTGCAGGTTGCAACCGAATTAGCAACCAGGTCAAGTTTAAGGGTCAAAGTTTACTACAGCGCTAAGTCTTAAATTTAATACAGCAAATTGTCCCTGGAGGTTATAAGCCTTGGTTTGTAAATTTGGTGAAAGTGGTGGCGTGTTCAATCCCTGTGTCGGATGTTGTGTGCTTGCATTCACTGGAAAAAGGGGGAGTAATAACTGCACAGTACTAAATAAAAATAAGACCAAGACGATATCCCTAGACAGCAGTGGAAGGAGAGCAGTCTATCCCCGTAGATTAAATAAAAGGGTCAGTTTAGAACTCCCTGTACGTTACGCAGATTGATGTAGTCCTGATGAAGTCCGGATAGTACAACGACCGAAACGTTGTGATAACAACAATAAAGATGAGGACAATAGTCCGAATTTAGATAGTGTAAATAATGGTAACCCTTCCTAGAAATTCTGACATAAACAATATATCTTTTCAATCATCTTCCTTACTTATTCGACCTTCTACGTCAAAGTATTGTACTGATTGCATATTCAAATATCTCAACCCACGAAAGGCTTGAAAATTGTTGTAGCCTACCTACGGACAATAATGGGTATGTCGCCTTGCGCATAAACACAGGAGTAAATAATTTACTTTTAAGGGCAATCTCGTTTGGGATGGTAAATGTTGGGGCGGACCCACCATCTCATCAGAATGGACTGATCCCTCTCCTACTAATAGGACAGTTCTAGAGAGTTCTGGGAAGATCAGGTGACCATCACATTTCCGTCTCTCTACCGGAAGATACAGTTGGACTTTATACTCTTTCTGATTGTTACTGACTAACCTGCGTTCATTTGACTACTAATCTCTCTGTTGTAAATACCTCTTCAGATATACCAGTATTTTTCCCTACGTATGTGTTTGTCCTTATTTCAATACACGCACGCGGAAACACTCAACATCTCAACAGTAAACAGCTATCCGACTCCGCTTTTTACGTGGTCTACGGGGAATTTTTGCCCGAGCCTAAGGGCTCGGATATATCACGTTAAATTCGGCCTTGTGCCACATCTGACCGCGTGGGGAGGTTGGAAAATATCCTACAGTTGGAGATTTGTCTCCAGCTAACCTAGTCGAACTCTCTGCATTCAGGCAGAGAGGAACCCAGACGAGGCTATGCCAAAGGGCAAAGTCTCGTCTGGGGTGGTAGACAGCTACCCAACCCCGTTTTTTGCGGCGTCTACGGGGAATTTTTGTCCGAGCCTATGGGCTCAGATACCCAACGTTAAATTCGGCGGCCTCGTACCACATCTGACCGCGTGGGGCGGTTGGCAAATATCCTACAAGTGGAGATTTGTCTCCAGTTGTGCTGGTCAAAGTCTCTGCCTCTAGGGAGAGAGGATCCCCAGACGAGGCTATATCGAAAGGTAAAATCTAGTCTTTGTAAGCAGTTGCCAGACCCCGTTTTATACGGTGTCTACGTGAAATTTTTTGTCCGAGTCCGTGGGCTCGGATACCCCACATTAAATTCGGCCTTGTGCCACACCTGACAGCGTTGGGTGGTTAATAGATATCCTGAAGTTGGAGATTCGTCTCCAGCTTTGCTGGTTAAATTCTCTGCCTCCCGGAAAGGAGGATCCCCAGACGAGGTTAAACGACCCCATTTTATACAGGCTCTACGGGGAATATGTGGCCAAGCCTACGTGCTCGGATACCCACATTAAATTTGGCTTTGTGCCACATCTGACCGCGTGGGGCTGTTGGTGGATATCCTGCAGTTGGAGACTTATTGTGATATTCACTTGACTCACTTCCAGTAGATGACTACTTTTTCTACGCGCCGCTGACGAATCTTATATGTGTTGTTCTTGTCCTAAGTATTATTGTTCATTACCAACCTTCGTTTGATTATTCTATTCAGTAACCTTCCCTAGGTTACGATAGATAGATAGATGTAAAATGTTAGCGATTTGCAATTTGTATTCCATCATACATAACAAGGAACAAACCGTGTCATTTAAAAGACAGTGTGCCAAAAAATGGTTCGAAAGGACGTTGAGGAATTAGGTGGAAATTCCGTTTGATGCCTGCTGTGTGCAACGAATAGACGCGAGGTCTGTGCTGAATATCTCAAGAACGTCTTCCCTTCCTGGAATTTGGTAACAAATTAAAAGGGAATCGCCTACATATGCCTGAGCGGATATTACGTTTTTTTGTGGTCTGACAGGAGGGTTAAGTATTCGAAACACATCTCTTATTTTAGAACCTCTTCAGGGTTTTTTTTTAAAATCATTTCACCCCATCCGGCTTTTAAAAAAGCCACTAAGACTCAAAGCGTTACAGGGTGTGAAAGAATAAGAAGAAGAAAAAAAGAAACATTATTAAGGAGAGAGAGAAAAGTGATCGTCTAGAAAGTAGCTAACGATTGACATTGAATTTAATTTTTTGAAGATCAAACCATGGAGCCGGAAGAGAGTTTCACAGGCGGGAAAAGATACTGTTATCATAGAATTTACAGGTAAATCTAGCCAGTTCACGTGCAAATTGAATGGACCATACCGCCAGTCTAGTCAGTCAGTTATGTGCCATGTTTCCTTCTGCGGTAGACCAGTTGCCATCCAACGCTATAGAACCCGGTCTGTTCTGCTATTTACCATTAACTATGGTAAAAGAAGAGAAATTATACCCAAGGATATTAGCACGTAAGTGAATCCTATCCATTACTCCACCATGCCTCCTAAGTCAATTATCTGCCATGCGTTATACACGCTTAGGCGATCATGTATCTTTCGATACATAATTGACGCGGAAGATGTTTCCCGCAGTAGGTTACCATTTCTTTCTACGGTAGACTAGTTGCCATTCAAGGCTATAGAACCCGGTCTGTCCTGCTATTTACCTATATCTGTTGGGGAGAAAGAAGATTCATACCTTTTCCAGCATGTAAGTGAATGTAATGGATTCAACTGGAATTCGAACTCGGCTCTACCGATTCCTCAATCCGAGCCACTATCTATTACTGACCCCTATGGTTAAATAGATAATGTCTAGGTATTATATCGAAGATTTCATTCAAAGAATTACCATGAAAATATTTATAGAAAAGGAACAGGGGAGCTATATGACGGCGGTGGGGAAAAAGACCGAAGCTGAGCCGTCCAGTCTCTTTTAACGAGCTTCGTATAGCTTATAATATAAGTACTGCTTCGGCAACTAACCGTGACGCCTGTATTACACTGACGCCAAACGGCCTGATATTTAACCATGCACCCCCCAACTTAGACGCGATGTGATACAAGGGCAGGTTTAACCTGGGGTACACGTGTGCGTATACTCGGGCCGCTGGCTTAAAATTTACTGATTCCCTGTAACTGAAGGGAACGGGAAAATTGCTTGTCTGTTCTACGCGGCCGAGTACCTATCCGAAGACATAGCCCTGACTGAGTCACTCTCTGCTCGAATACAGGGGTCTTGTCGTTCGCAAGCCAGACAGCGAGCTGCCTGACTCCAAATCTCTTCAATATTTATTTTGTATAAAAAAAATACAAATGAGACACAACGCCAAAAGAGGGTCGGAGGAAAAGGTGGTGTTTTTTACACACCCCTCTTTCTTTCTTAAACATAAAAACACACTTTCCCTCCGTATCTTCGCTAACTTCTCTCTTTTCATTTTCACTTATCGGTTT